AAAAAAAATCAACACAGCATGGTACTGGCATAAGGATATATCTATCTAGAGATAAACATTTATATTTACAGTCAATTGATTTTTGACAAGAGAGACCAAAAAACAGACTTTTCAGCAAATGGCGCAACTACAACAGGATACTGACATGCAAAAGAATAAAGCTGGAGTCCTATCTTAAACCATATGTAAAAATTAACTGAAAATGAATCACAGACCCAAATGGAAGAGCTAAAACTAAAAAAACTCTTAGAAGAAAATATAGGAGTAAATTTTCAGGACCTGGGGTGAAGCAAACTCTTAGGACATCAAAAGCACATACAACAAGAGAAAAACTAAACAAACTGACTACATCAAAATTAAAAACTTTATCAAAGCCACAGTAAGATATCCCCTCACACCTGTTGGGATGGCTATTATCAAAAAGACAAAAGATAACAAGTGTTGGTGAGGATGTGGAGGAAAGAGAACCCTTGTCTGCTATTGGTGAGAATGTAAATTGGTACAGCGAATATGGAAAACAATATGGAAGGTCCTGAAAAAAACTAAAAACATGTTATGATTCAGCAATTCTACTTCTGGGCATATATCCAAAGGAAATGAAAGCAGTAAAGTGATAGCTGCACTCCCATGTTCATTACAGCACTATTATATGTGTGTGTGTGTGTGTTTATTAATTATGTAGCAAAGACATGGAAACAACTAAGTGTCCTTAAACAGACGAATAAAGAAAATGTGGTATATACAATGGTATATTATTCAGCCTTATAAAAGGAAATCCTGCCATTTAGGGCAACATGGATGAACCTGGAGAGCATTACACTAAGTGAAATAAACCAGACACAGAAACACCAATACTGCATGATCTTACTTAGATGTGGAATATTAAAAAGTTGAACTCATAGAAGCAGAGAGTAGCATAGTGGTTGCTGGGGCTGGAGGGTGGGGGAAATAGGGAGATGTTGATTAAAGAGTACAAAGTTTCCTTTAGGCAGAACGAGTGAATTCTGAGGATCTAGTGTACAACTTGGTGTTGACAGTTAATAACACTCTATTGTACACTTGAAATTTGGTTGGAAAGTAGATCTTAAATATTCTCATTACACATGCAAAAAAAAAAAAAGATAACCATGTGAGGTGATGGATATGTTAACAAACTTGAGTGTGACCATCATGTCACAATGTATACATATATCCAAACATGTTATGTTCTGGCGCCTGGCCAGAACTTTTATCTAGAGTATATAAAGAACTCTTACAACTCATTAATAAAAACAGAATCCAACTTAAAAACGGGCAAAGGATCTAACTAGGGCCGGGCGCAGCGGCTCATGCCTGTAATCCCAGCACTTTGGGAGGCCGAGGCAGGTGGATCACTTGAGATCAGGAATTGAAGACCAGCCAGGCCAATATGGTGAAACCCCGTCTCTACTAAAAATACAAAAGTTAGGCGGGAGGGGTAGCACGCACCTGTAATCCCAGCTACTTGGGAGGCTGAGGCAGGAGAATCACTTGAACCTGGGAGGTGGAGGTTGCAGTGAGTTGAGATTGTGCCACTGCACTCCAGCCTGGGTGGCAGAGCAATACTCCATCTCAAAAAAAAAAAAAAAAAAAAAACCCACCAGAAAATAACTGCAAGCAGGTGGAAACAGTGGCAAACTCATCCTCTGCTAGTAGAAATGTAAAGTTGTGTAACAATCTGGCAGTTCCCCTACAGGCTAAGCAGTGAAATACCACATGAAGCAGCAATTCCACCATTCCTAGGTGTGCATCAAAGAGATCTGAAAACACATCCACACAAAAACCTGTACACGAACTTTATGTATTACTCACTGTGGGAGTTCAGTCAGGATGGAGAGGAAAATTATAAGACGCAAACCTTCTTGGAAGGCCTGGGGCATTTGCATAAGCTCTAGTAATAAACTTAGCTGAAGGAGCCTTGTCCCCTTAGTTAAATAAATTAGAGTAGAAACAAAGGAATGTGGGGAGTTTAAAAAAAAAAAAAAAAGGAATGTAGGGAGTTTATCTAACTAGCTTGTTTACTCATGTGGTCCTAAGACTAACCTTTGATTTACCAGGGGTGCTTAATTGTTTTCTACCGGGGCAGTCCAACTGTTTTTCCTTTTTCTTTTTTCTTTTTTTTTGGAGACAGAGTCTGGCTCAGTCGCCCAGGCTGCAGTGCTCACTGCAAGCTCCGCCTCCTTGGTTCACACCATTCTCCTGCCTCAGCCTCCCGAGTAGCTGGGACTTAGCTGGGACTACAGGTGCCCGCCACTAGGCCAGGCTAATTTTTTTGTATTTTTAGTAGAGACGGAGTTTCACCGTGTTAGCCAGGATGGTCTCCATCTCCAACTGTTTACAGCACTCTGTGTGGAGTCTCGTAAGCTGCCCGGATGCTCAAACTGGTAAAGCAGAATATCTGTGTGTCAGTGTACTTTATTCATCCGTTGTTGGGTCAGGGTCGGCAAGACAGACCCCTGAAACTCATAATACATAAAATATAGAAATGACTCAAATTTTATAATATATTGAGACATGAATGAGCCTTAAAACCATTATGTTAAAAGAAACCAGGCACAAAAGACCACATGTTGTACGATTCTATTTACATAAAATGTCCAGAACAGGCAAATCTATAGACAGAAAGTAGAGGAATGGTTGCAACAGTAGTGAAAGGGGAGAAAGTG